GCAGAGAAATATAAAAAAAAGGAAAAGAAAAAGGGAGATGGATTGAATTGAATGGGAGGGAGAGCAAGGGAGAGGAGGAGAGAGAAGGAGGAAAAAGAGAAGACATAGCGAAAGAAGGAGAAAAAAAAATAGTAAAATCAAAATAAAAAAGAAGAGAACAAAATCACAAAGACATTATAGCTTAATACAGCATATAACAGCATAGAATAGCATAATTCAGCATAGAGTAGCATAATACAGTATAGTACAGCATACAAAGACACCGGCGATGATCTGTCCCGAGACCGAGCATGCCTCTGGTCCTCCGGCGGAGCATTCACGGGCGCGAGTCTCATGCAGTCATTATCGCGCGCATTATGGGCAAGTGATCTGTTCATTGATGCGCCGGACAGGTTGGTGAGGGGGAGGTGGAGGAGGAGGAGGGGGAGGAAGGGGAGGAGGAGGAAGAGGAGGAAGGGGAGGAAGAGGAGGAGGAGCTGGAGGTGGAGGAGGAGCTGGAGCTGGAGCTGGAGGTGGAGGAGGAGGAGGAGGAGGGGGGGAGGGGGAGGATGGTGGTGGTGGTGGTGAGGAGGAGGAATAGGATAGTGAATATGAAGAGGGCTAGGAAGGTGATGAGGGGGACGAGGATGGTGTTGATGAGGACTATGATTTTGACGAGGAGGACTAGGATGGTGATGAGGGGAAGGAGGTTGTTGATAGTAGTGGTGATGATGAGGAGGGCTAGGATGGTGATGATAAAAAAGGATGATGATGATGATGAGGCGGAGAAGGATGCTGGTGATGAGGATGGGCCGGTCCTGCATGTAATTAATTGTGTGAATGAGAGAGGGAGTCGCGTATAGGATTGTAGGATTGGATTAGCAACAGAATTTAGATTGGCTGTAGAATTAGGGGGAGGGATTGTAGGATTAGGATCCCAGCGTTGGGATTGTAGGATCGTGGGATAGGATTGGCTTTGGGATTATGGGTTTGGAATGGCTGTAGTAGGATTGTGAGGTTGTAGGATTGTATCAGCTTTGGGTCTGTGGGGTTCGATTGGTCGTGGGAGTGGGAGACAAAGAGAGTGGTTCGCATTTTGTTGTGTGTGTGTTTTTATTATTATTATTTTTTTTATTTCTTTATTTTTTTTTTTAGATTTGGGAATTCTAGAAAGGTTCAGAAGAGTTTACTGTATATGTTATACGCACACGCCCGTACGCACACGCCCAGACGCACATGCTTGATCAAGCTGGAGAGAGAGAGAGAAAAAAAAAAACACATTTCATCCCGACAGATATGACAGATCTCCCGCAAGACCATCCCGTGACACAGAGGAATTCGTCCGGCACGCGCATCCTCAACTCTGCATGACATGATACCGCTTGACACCGCCGTATGTGTCATGTCGTGCAAAGCGGAGGCGTCGTTTTGAGATGGCGCTCGGAGATACCCCCCCCCCCCCCCATTACACACACACAGACATACACGCGAAAAGAAAGAAAGGAAGAAAGGGAGAAAGAAAGCAAGAAAGAGAGAAAAAAGGAAGAAATAGAGAAGGAAAGGAAGAATGAGAGAAAGAAAGGAAGAAAGAGAGAAAGAGAGGAAGAAATAGAGAAAGAAAGGAAGAAAGAGAAAGAAAGGAAGAAAGAGAGAAAGAAAGGAAGAAAGAGAGAAAGAAAGGAAGAAAGAGAGAAAGAGAGGAAGAAAGAGAGAAAGAAAGGAAGAAAGAAAGAAAGAAAGGCAGAAAGAGAGAAAGAAAGGAAGAAAGAAAGAAAGAAAGGAAGAAAGAGAGAAAGAAAGAAAGAACAAACGGCCATTCCTCTTGCGTTGCAATACCGGCCAGTCAGTCGCTTGTTTCCTGTTGCATTTTGACGCCGGTGTTGCAATGCACGCGAGACATCCCCCCCCGGCTTTCACACCGTCGTCGCGAATTTGCTTCTGGTTTTGCTTGTTAAACGAGGACGGGTTAACGCTCGCCGGGACATGCTTGTTAACGTAAATGCAGGAGACGCAAGATGGAATCATTCTGCTTGTCGGGATTCTAAAAATCGTCGCTTAAGAGATGGGGGGTGGGGGGGGGGATGCTGGGTTCATCTCTTGAATTCAGGGGATGCTGTACTTGGGCTCGATTTTCGTAAACGAGGGTGGTGTACTGGTGTAGTTTTTGGGATAGTTTATTACTCTTATTCTCTTTTATTTTTCTCTCTTTTTCTCTTTCTCTTTCTCTCTCTCTCACTCACTCTCTCATTCTCTGTCTGTCTGTCTGTCAGTCTCTCTCTCCCTCCCCCTCCCCCTTTTACTCTCTCTTTTTCTCTTACTCTCTCCCTCTCCCTTCCTCATCCGTCCCTCCCTCTCTTCCCTCCCTCCTCTCCCTCCCTCCCTCGCTTTCTCTCTCTTTCCCTTCTGTTCCTTCCTTCCCTCCTCTCCCTCCTCTCCCCCCCTCCCTGATTCTCCTTTCTCTCTTCCCCCCCTTGCTTTCTTTCTCTTTCCCTTCTGTCCTTTCTTTCTTCTTTTCTTTCTT